AAAATTAGGTGCAACAATGTCAAAATTAGGTGCAATAATGTTTGAAAATTAAATGGGTAAATTATAAACTTTAGTCACTAAACTTTAGGGTATTTATAAGATTAGTCTTTAAGTTTCAATTATAAATACCCTAGCTCATTTAGCTTCAAAACCATCCCAAAGCATTCTAGCTTTCTTCCAATACTAGAGAGATTTTAGAGAATTTCTTGAGAGTTGTTTTCTACTTTTATCTAGAGAGAATTATCATTGTTTTCTTCTTGGTAGATCGAGAGAGGTTGTAATTCCTATTTTCTCATAGTGAAATTCTTCTACCGTTGCCTGTGGTTTTTTACCCTATATTATTCAGGGGTTTTTCACGTAAATTTTGTATCTCTTTTATCTTCATTTTTATTTTCTCAAATTATCAGTTGCGATTTTGCTCTATCCGTAGCCGTCTTCCGCAACAATTGGTATCAGACCTAGATTAGAGTGTGTAATATCTGCTTATTGTCTTTGTGGTTGCCACTAAAAGGTGGATCCTCCAACATAAGAAAATAAGAAGTTATTACACATTTTTTGAAGGTTCCAGAGAAGTATTCACGATAGTGAAATAGTGGGAGCTATCTGTAAAAGAAGCTATGACAACGAAATTTGATATTGAAAAATTCAATGAGAGAAACTTCTCATTGTGGAAATTGAAGATGAAGGCCATCCTAAGGAAAGACGGGTGTCTAGCGGCTATCAATGAAAGGCCGATGGATTTCGCAGATGACATCAAATGGAACGAGATGGATGGGAATGCTATGGCAAACTTTCATCTAGCATTAGCAGATGAAGTATTGTCAAGCATCGAGGAGAAGAAGACAGCTAAGGAGATATGAGATCATCTCACCAAATTGTACGAGGCCACATCGATGCACAATAAAATTTTCCTTAAGAGGAAATTGTACACTCTCCGTATGCCAGAATCTACTTCAGTGACGGAGCACTTAAATACACTGAACACCTTATTTTCTCAGCTTACATCCTTAAGCTGTAAAATAGGAGAACAAGAACGTGCTAAACTTCTACTTCAAAGTCTACCGGATTCGTACGATCAACTCATCATCAACTTGACAAATAGTAATGTCACTAGTCTAGTCTTCGATGATGTTGCAGCTGCTGTTCTACAAGAAGAAAATCGGCGCAAGAACAAGGAAGACAGACAAGTAAATCTGCAACAAGCAGAAGCGTTGACAACGATGAGAGGGAGATTAACGGAACGTGGCCAAAGCAACAGTCACAAATATGGTAGATCGAAGTCGAGGAGTAAGAAGAATTTAAAGTGTTACAACTGTGGAAAGAAGGGTCACTTGAAGAAGGATTGTTGGAGTCTAAATAAAAACTCCAATCCACAAGGCAATACCGCAAACACTTCAGATGATGGAGATGCTCTATGCTGTGAAGCGTCAACTACCGTGGAAGGCAGAAAAAGATTTGCAGATATATGGCTCATTGATTCGGGAGCGACATATCACATGACCTCAAGAAGAGAATGGTTCCATCATTATGAACATGTCTCAGGAGGATCTGTTTATAGTTGCAATGATCATGCCTTAGAGATCGTTGGCGTGGGAACCATCAAATTGAAGATGTATGACGAAACAATTAAAGTTGTTCGAGATGTGTGGCACGTGAAAGGCCTGAAGAAAAATTTATTATCTTACGGATTGTTGGATAATAATGCAAGCAAGATTGAAACACGGAAAGGAATCATGAAGGTGTTCCGTGGAGCGCTTGTGGTGTTGAAAGGCGAAAAAATAGCTGCAAACTTGTACATGCTGAAGGGAGAGACTTTGGTAGAAGCAGAAGCCTCTGTTGCCTCATGTAGTTCAGATTCGGCAACGCTATGGCATCAGAAACTTGGACACATGTCAGAACAAGGAATGAAAGTTCTTGTGGAGCAAAAACTACTTCCAGGCTTAACAAAGGTAACACTTCCTTTGTGTGAGCATTGCGTAACAAGTAAGAAGCACCGGTTGAAATTCAACACGTCAAATTCTAGAGCCAAAAGTGTTCTAGAATTGGTTCACTCTGATGTATGGCAAGCACCAGTTACATCCCTAGGAGGAGCAAAATACTTTGTCTCATTTATTGATGACTACTCCAGGAGATGTTGGGTGTACCCTATTAAGAAGAAGTCAGATGTGTTTTCCACTTTCAAAAACTTCAAAGCGCGGGTGGAACTTGATTCTGGAAATAAGATCAAGTGTTTCAGAACAGATAATGGAGGAGAATACACAAGTGAAAAATTTGATGACTTTTGCAAGAAAGAAGGCATCAAAAGACAGTTCACAGTGGTGAACACTCCTCAACAAAATGGGGTGGCAGAGCGGATGAACAGAACCTTGTTAGAAAGAACAAGAGCAATGTTGAGGGACGCAGGCCTAGAAAAATCATTCTGGGCAGAAGCAGTCAATACCGCCTGTTATTTGGTGAATCGAGCTCCATCAACTGCAATAGAGATGAAGACACCAATGGAGATGTGGACTGGTAAACCAGTTGATTATTCAAACCTCCATGTATTTGGAAGTATTGTGTACGTGATGTACAACGCCCAAGAAATTTCAAAGCTGGATCCAAAATCCAGAAAATGCAAATTCTTGGGGTATGCTGATGGAGTAAAGGGGTATCGCTTGTGGGATCCCACTGCCCGCAAAGTGATCATTAGCAGGGATGTTATCTTTGTAGAAGATAAACTACAAAGAAAAGAAGACGATGATAGCGCTGAAAAGTCAGAGACTACTCAGATACATGTGGAAAAAGAGTTTGAAGAAGGAGATTCTTCTGAAGCAGAACTAGCACATGATTAACAAGAACCAGAGAGTTCTGAAGCTCCAATAACTCGTCAATCAGATCGTGTGAGAAGACGTCCCAATTGGCACTCAGATTATGTTATAGAAGGTAATATTGCATACTGCCTTTTAACAGAGGACGGTGAGCCATCAACATACCAGGAGGCAATAAACAACTCAGATGCTTCACTGTGGATGATGGCGATGCAAAAAGAAATCGAAGCCCTTCATAAAAATAATACATGGGACCTTGTGCCACTACCACAAGGAAGGAAGCCAATTGGTAACAAATGGGTTTTCAAAATCAAGCGAAATGGTGACGATCAAGTGGAGAGGTATCGTGCAAGACTGGTGATCTTGGCAATGTGTGCTACATTGAATTTACATCTGGAACAACTAGATGTTAAAACAACTTTTCTTCATGGAAATCTTGAAGAAGAGATTTATATGCTCCAGCCTGAAGGTTTTGAAGAAGACGAAAAGAAGAACTTGATTTGCAGGTTGAACAAATCTCTATATGGTCTAAAGCAGGCGCCGAGGTGTTGGTATAAGAGATTTGATTCCTTCATTATGTGCCTTGGATACAACAGACTTAATGCAGACCCTTGTGCTTATTTCAAGAGGTCTGGTGATAATGATTTTGTTATATTGTTGTTGTATGTGGATGACATGTTGGTTGCAGGACCCAATAAAGATCATATTGAAGAATTGAAGGCACAACTGGCTAGGGAATTTGAAATGAAGGACTTGGGATCAGCAAACAAGATTCTAGGGATGCAAATTCACCGAGACAGAAGTAATAGGAAGATTTGGCTTTCACAAAAGAATTACTTGAAGAAGATCTTGTCATGATTCAACATGCAAGATTGTAAGCCAATTTCTACCCCTCTTCCTATTAACTTCAAATTATCCTCCAGTATGAGTCCTAGCAGTGAAGAAGAGAGGATGGAGATGTCTCGAGTACCGTATGCATCAGTAGTGGGAAGTTTAATGTTCGCTATGATATGCACAAGACCAGACATTGCACAAGCAGTGGGAGTGGTTAGTCGGTACATGGCGAATCCAGGCAAAGAGCATTGGAATACAGTAAAGAGGATCCTAAGATAATCAAAGAGACCTCAAATGTTGCATTATGTTACGGAGGATCAAACTTACTAATTAATGGGTATGTAGATTCTGACTATGCAGGGGATTTGGATAAAAGCAAATCTACTACAGGATATGTGTTCAAAGTTGCTGGTGGAGCTGTAAGCTGGGTTTCAAAATTGCAGTCAGTTGTGGCTATGTCCACAACAGAGGCAGAATATGTAGCAGCTACACAAGCCAGTAAAGAAGCAATTTGGTTGAAGATGCTATTGGAGGAGCTTGGGCATAATCAAGAGTATGTCTCTCTGTTTTGTGACAGTCAAAGCGCCTTGCATCTAGCAAGGAATCCAACATTTCATTCAAGGACTAAGCACATACGAGTTCAGTACCATTTCATTCGTGAAAAGGTGGAAGAAGGAACGGTAGATATACAGAAGATCCATACCAAAGACAACATAGCAGATTTCATGACGAAGGCGATCAACGCTAATAAATTTACCTGGTGTCGATCCTCTTGTGGCCTGTCAGAGACGTAAGCAACATGATGGTACAAGGTAGAAAGAATGGTGTGAAGATATGATTGTTCCAATCAAATCTTCAAGTGGGAGATTGTTGAAATGTCAAAGCTTGTAAAATTAGTTCAAGTTAGGCACCTAATATTGCAATGTCAAAATTAAGTGCAATAATGTTTGAAAATTAAATGGGTAAATTATAAACTTTAGTCACTAAACTTTAGGGTATTTATAAGATTAGTCCTTAAGTTTCAACTATAAATACCCTAGCTCATTTAGCTTCAAAACCATCCCAAAGCATTCTAGCTTTCTTCCAATACTAGAGAGATTTTAGAGAGTTTTTTGAGAGTTGTTTTCTCCTTTTTATCTAGAGAGAATTATCATTGTTTTCTCCTTGGTAGATCGAGAGAGGTTGTAATTCCTATTTTCTCATAGTGAAATTCTTCTACCGTAGCCCGTGGTTTTTTACCCTATATTATTCAGGGGTTTTCCACGTAAATTTTGTCTCTTTTATCTTCATTTTTATTTTCTCAAATTATCAGTTGCGATTTTGCTCTATCCGATAGCCGTCTTCCGCAACACGAGATTCCTTTTCACTCTGGTAGACCGGTATGCCATCCATGAATCTTCCTTTTCTTCTTCATCTCACCTTATTCTCCATTAAATTTCAGGACAAAAATGAACCGCCTCCAGAGGGTCACTTGCCACAGGCCACCAAAGGTACCCTAAACCATGCATGAAAAAAAAAGGAAGAGAATTTGAAAGTGTTTGATCCAATCTTTAAATTTTTTGTTTCATTTCAGGTTCGGATCACCTGAGAGATGTCTTCGGGCACATGGGTCTTACTGATAAAGACATTGTTTGTTGCTTTATTCGGTGGTCATACACTGATAAACTTGATTACGCCTTCCAACTGTTCGATCAAAGTTCTGTGCGTTCTATCATGCGCTGTTGACATTATTATGATCATTATTTACAGGGCAGGTGCCATAAGGAGCGTTCTGGATTCGAGGGACCCTGGTCTTCCAATCCTCTCATTTTTTATAACTCCTATTTCAAGTAAACCACTCTTTAATGCGTATATTATTGTTGGATTCAATTTCACAATATTGGCAGGGGACAGACATAGGATTTACGGGAGCTAACTTGAATATAGCCAACATGATTGGCATTGTTACCCATGTTTTTTTTTTTTTAAATTCTTGTTTGAGACAGGGAACTTGTGAGTGGAGAGCAAGAAGGTCTGATCCAGTTGCCATCCGACAAAGCATTTATGGAAGATCCTGTCTTCCGCCCTCTTGTCCACAAATATGCTGCGGTGCGTATAATTTCACTTATTTCAGTTTATTTATCCTTGTCTGTTGAAATCTCTCGAGAAATTCTTACACATGACAGTTCATTTCAATTTATTTATCTTTGACAAGACCTTTGAGAAGTATCGAAAAACCTACAAGTATCAAATTTACAGTGGGACGATCATATTCATTATATTTTGTTATCTTACAAATAATTTTGAAGGTAAAGTATAAATGATCTCAACAATATGTATTGTTTTATAAAGTTATTTGGTTATAAAAAAATTATAAAATAATCATTCGATTATAGAGTTTTATTTTGTTAAGTCATTCGATTATTAAAAGTCATAAAATGATCACTCGACTATTCATTATGTTTTAAATTCGTCATTTTTCCGTTAAAAATTACAGTTATCTAATTTGGATGTTGTGATATAATAGTCATTTGAGATTCTGGATCAAATTTTATCATATCACAATTTATAGGTTAACGTTCAACTCATAATACTATCAATTTTTTAACGAAAAGGGCGAGCTTGAAATGTAATGAGTAATCGAGTGATCATTTTGTAACTTTAATAAACAAGAGACTTAACAAAGCAATACTATATAGTTGGAGGATAGTTTTATAATTTTTAATGATCAAGGGATTTAATAAAATAATATTTTATAACTATGAGACTATTTGTGTACTTTACCTTAATTTTGAGGATCTTACGCATGATATCAACATTAAGAGCTGATGTATAAACCTTCATGATAGAGTAGATAATAGAGGAACCTCCTACATAGTTCTTCTCAAGTAAGTCCTGGAAAATAACTTGACGCTGATTATCGTTTGAAAAACTTTCAAAATTAACCTACTGCTACTTTCTGCTCAAATCAGAAAGGATAAACTTTATATTGTCCCAAAAAATTCGAGTAGTACTATCTGAATCTGAAACAATCAAATTATCCGATGAATTTTCGAATCGATTGGAACTTTTGGTAATGAACAACGGTTGTTTTGCCTTACCGGTATGAGGATGCCTTATTTGCTGACTACGCTCAATCTCATTTGAAGCTTTCGGAGCTCGGGTGAGTATTTATTAACCAATCTTTTCATTTCATCCCTTCCACAAATGGTCTTGCATTTTCTCATTCTCTTTTACCTTTGTTTCCAGATTAGCGGATGCTGAATAGGAAACCGACAAGAACATCGAACGTCAGCTTGTTGCTGTGTGCTGGTGTCTGATGTGTCCGTATTTCGTTTTCAGACAATATAATATATATATGGGTACTGTGGTTCATGTGTATTTGCCTTTTGGGAAAACATGTTGATCCAAATTTGTGTCGTGTTTGTACAATGAGCAGATATATACTATAGTATGATGAAATAATCATTTCGGACAAAGAATGTTCACTTGGTGTACGTATTAATGCAAATAAGGAATATTTTCCCGTATTATTTATTTGTTGTCAAATAGTTGAAAATCTATACTAATGTGTAATCACTTAAATTTAATAAAAATGTTTTTTATTAAATTTAAGTTCATTCGTTTAATTTTTCAAGAGAAATTAGTTCATTCGTTTAATTTTTCAAGAGAAATTTACGAAGTATTGTTAATTTGTAAAACTTTTAATAGATTTAGTATCATGTTTTTTAGATATTTATATACAGTTTTAATTTCAAGATAACATCTTCGTGGTGAACGTGGGATTTTATAAAATTTTGGGTCCTTAGGTTTAAACATTTTTAAGTGCATTTCTTATTTTTTTCTTATTTTTTTATAAAAATATATTATTTTGAATTGTTTCAAATATTAAAATAGTTATACAAAATTGTATATTTTTGTTTTAACTTTTAATATTCACATCAATAATCATTATCTACGTCATTATATTATTTAGTTAACGATTTAATGATATAATTAAAATATTATTATTTAAAGTAAATAAAAATTTATAGTAAACTTAATACAAATTTTAAAGTTTAATAATGTGTAGTGTATTTTATCTTAAAATTAAAATGTACAACTGTACTAGATGTATATGCCATTATTGGTAGGAAACAGTTAACATGTTATTGAACGGGCGACCACGGCTTAATGCATAAATGGAAGGGGTGAGTGAATCGAGTTTGAACTAATTAAATTATATTTGTATTTGTTTATTTGTTTTTGAAGTTCAAATTTTGTTTGTGTTTATTTAAGTTTTTAATATTATGTTTGTGTTCATTTATTTATTTTTAAAAATGTTCATATTCATTTAATGTGTTTATTTAATGTTCATGAACGTGTCCATTTAACATTAATGAACATGCTTGTTTAATGTTTGTTTAGTGTTCATATAACGTTTGTTCGTCTATATGTTCAATTTTATTTACGAGCCAAAGGAAAATGATAAAATTACACTATAAAAGTTTAAACTTTTAAATTTCATAATTTAAATTTCATTATATACTCAATTTAATAATTTCTTTCACCAATATTTAAAATGTAAAAAGAATTAAAATGAAAAACAGAACAATAAATAAACTTGTTCATCAGCATAAATAAATAAATAAGTAAACAAACTCATAAATGAAAGTTTGTATATCAACATAAACAAATATAATAAACCTATATTTGTCTTCGTCCATTTATTAAATGATAATAAAATAACTCAACCAACGGTGTTGATAAACCTCATTCGCTCATCCGAGTCGTCTCCACTCTGCTATCTTCTCCAGCGTCCGATCCCCTCTTTCCTCCCATCCGTAATCCAATCTCACCATCTCCCGCCCTTTTTATTTCCTTTTTCATTTTCCCTTCACTTAGGTAAACTTCCCTCCCTTTTCCCCCTTTCACATTTCTTAGGGTTTCGTTTCGAAACAAGAGATATAATCATTTTATTTTTGATGTTCGGTGATTTGTCGGAAATAGGATTTTCGCCATGGCTGAGGCACCGGCTCCGGCGAGTCCCGGTGGAGGAAGTCACGAGAGCGGTGAGCAGAGCCCGAGGTCCAACGTGCGAGAACAAGATAGGTATCTTCCTATTGCTAACATTAGTCGTATCATGAAGAAGGCGCTTCCTGCCAACGGGAAGGTCGCTAAAGATGCTAAAGAGACTGTGCAAGAGTGCGTCTCCGAATTCATCAGCTTCATCACCAGCGAGTACGGAATTTTATCAACTGTTTTTAGCTGAATTTATTTGATGAATTAATGAATTTATGTGTAATTGGTCATAATTGATGTACAGAGCTAGCGACAAGTGTCAGAAGGAGAAGAGGAAGACGATTAACGGGGATGATCTGCTATGGGCTATGGCAACTTTAGGGTTTGAAGATTACATCGATCCGCTTAAGATTTACCTTTCCAGATATCGTGAGGTAATTATCTCAATACCTTTCTGTGTTAATTCATCTGCTTTTCTCCTGGTTCGTGCTTTGGCTGCTTACAAAGGGGGTGGGGAAATGAAGAGTTATTTTGGATAAAAAAATTCCTGTACGTTGGAGGCATAATTCAACAGCTTTACAAATGGGTTTGCCACTTATCTATTTAACTAATTGTTTTAGCCTAATAGTACTTACTTCGGATATCTTTGTTTAATGGGCATTTGAAATTCATAGAATAATCAATTTGCTAATTGATTTTCTTTTGACTCAAATGATAATTGGCCATATGAAAATAATGGGAAAGAAATTGGCTTATGGATAGTGAAATATGTAAGATTTCTATGTTTTGTTCCTTTACCTGTGATTTCTATGCTATGTTAGTCTCTCATTGTTTGGTATTCTCTGGCGTGTATTATGTGTTTTATTTACTAACTTTTTATTTAGTCATAATGAACTGATTGATGTTTTTCTTTCCCTTGGTTCTCATGGTTGATTGGCCCATTGCAGATGGAGGTTAGTTAATACTGGCTTCTTCAATTCATGTTGTTACTTCATTAAATATTTTAGAGCCTCGGACTTGTTTTCTCCAAGCTAACTCTCTGATATGGATTTGGCTTGCAAACTATTTTGTTTAATAGGGTGATACCAAGGGCTCGGCTAAAGGTGGAGATGCATCTGCTAAGAAAGATGTCCAACCAAGCCCAAATGCCCAGGTGAAATACATGTTTTCCGTTACTCCTACATTCATCTTAGTTTTGTTCTCATGGTTCCACTTACTATTTGCCTTTTTCTTCTTAAATCAAGTTCACGCATATGCAAACTTTGCCATATTTTTATATGATTTTCTGCTAAATAATTCTGGCAGCTTGCTCATCAAGGTTCATTCTCGCAAGGTTTTAGCTATGGGAATTCTCAAGTAATCTCTCACTCTCTCACTCCGTGTGTGTGTGTGTTGCCTTTTCTGCATCATGGCATATCAATTCATGAACATAATAATGGATCTTTACATTTATCCATCTTTTGGAAAGTGTGTATTTATGATTGTCCTACTCTTTGTTTACTTATATGTGTAAAATGCTTTCCATTTGGGAAAATCCTTGTTGGCTGTCGTGTACCCTGGTGTGAATAAAGCTATATTAGGAGTTCATCCATTGCTTCATTCAAACATTGATATGAGAACTGATTTTTATATAATGTATAAAACAATTGGCATAATTGGTGGTTTAAATTATGGAGAACCTCTTTATACATTTCACATGCTTTAAGTTTTGACCAGTAGAGTTTGCGAGTGAAGGCAGACATGATCCTGAAGGAGTTGGTAGATGTTTGACTTTCTGTTATCATTTGGAATACATTCTTGTTTATATTGCTCAACTCTTGTTATTTACTTATTCTTGATGCTACCACATTCATGTTACAGAATTGAGAACAATATTAAGGTGCCCCTATTTCAACAGATTTAGAATTTCGTCATGGAGCAATCGTTGTAACAATTAAATTTTTAGCAATCAACAGCTGACGCTTTTTTTTCTCTATGAAGCATGATCTTCAATCCTTGCATTTCTGTTTTAAGACCTGTAGCAATCAACAGCTGATAGTTCTAACATCTTGCTATTTTTGTAGTAACGAAGCTGTCTGATGGTTCTGATCCAAGGCACCGAGTAGAGATCACCCCTACGGCAATTCCAATCATCTAAACCCCGTTGAATATCATAATCCGGTGCTGCAACAAATTCCTGTTTGATGTGAAAACTGACATTTTGGATGATTTGCATTCACCTATCTTGTAAGTTTCTATATTCTAGTAATGTTTGTATGTCAGATGTTCTTTGTAATAGATTCTCGTTTCACAGAACTGTGTAAATCTTAGGGGGGGGGGGGGTTCATTTAGATTTGAGCTCAGGGGAGGGCACATTATATCTGTTGTGTTAGTGATATTTCTTACGTACTCGTGCTTTTCTTCACCCTATTATTCTGACTTTGGAGGCAAGATGGTAAGGTCGTTTATCATTGTTATGGATTGGGTAAATTATTAGATTGGGTTATGATATGACTTTTTTTTTTTTTTAAATTTGAGTTACCTTAATTCATCTCTAATTTATTATTGAAATAATATTCTATTATATTTTAAAGGCATAACGATAAAAAATATTTTCTTAACCTTTAACTAAACAATCACTTTGACAAATATTTTTTTGAGTATTTTGATGTCAAATATTTTATTTTTTGGGATAAAAAATCAGAAAATCATTACTTAAATAATGGTTGACACATCAAAGTAAGGGTATTTTTGTCTTAAAATAAAATATTAAGGACAGAATGCTCTAAATAGAAATAAGTTTAAAATGTCAGGGTTAATGACTGGATGGACGTGGTTCACTTCCAGATGTTGCCACCCAAAGCTGTACGTCAACCTAATTTGCTTTTGTGTGTCCCATTGTGCGTATCTTTCTTCACCTCGACGTATAATTCGGAGCTTTGGGTATATCATATATTTGGTTTTCTGTTTTTATATTCTTTTGGTATGAGATTCCTAACAAACCCAAAATTCCATCTAATTATATAACACGTCCTTTATTTATAATTATCTCAATATTTCTCTTTTAGACTGAATAGTATCATCAATCTTTTCATTGGCGCAATTTGTCATCAAATCTTTTTTATTTCCAAAGTAATTGAATTTTGAAATTTTATTATTAAGGAAAATATCTTGAAACTGAATTTTAAAATTTTGTTGTGATATTTTACTACTTAATTTAAATTATTTACATAATCAAACATTTTATTGATGGCTCCAAATTTTTTTATAACAATAGTGCTGCTTTTATTGAGGAAGCCAAACCATGTAACAGAAAAGGGAAAATTCGTAGCAAAACTACCAGTAAAAATAAGAAGAAAAAACCGGTTACAACAAACGAGAAAAGAAAACTTGGTTACAGGACAAGTCAAATACCAAATTAAAAAGAAAAAGTAATGCAATCTGATAGAGAAAATAAATAAAGAACGATAAAAGTGGTATTGGAACCTTCAAACAGAAATGAGTCTGCGACGCAACAAAGTTCATCGGAGGGCGAGCTCCTAACACAAGAAGCCAAGGTAATTAATGCATGCAGGTGAAAACAAAACACAGTCGGAGAAGAGTCTGGAATATGTACTCCGACAAGTGTTAGAGCTCAAAGTCGAGCCTAATCAGGTGGATCTACCCACCACATGTCACGAGCAACTACTGCTTCAATTTCAAGAGGAGCTTCCTCAATCCACACCATTTGAGCTTGGAAAGAACGACCATCCTTAGCTATGGCATGTGCTGCAGCGTTTTGGGAGCGATGAACAAAAGAGAAAGATAAGTTATCAAACACCCTTGCCATTTTATGGACATTCGAAACTATTGCTCTAATTTCGGTTCTATCATCTGTTGTACACATTTTCCTAATAATCATTTGAGTATCTCCTTCAACAATAGCTCAACAGAACCCAAGATCACGAGTTAGACAGACTGCCTGCTCACAAGACCAAGCTTTGGTTGCCTCGGGGTTGGGTATATTCTGATTAGGAATCGAACTCACCGCCATGGTAAGACCATCGTTGTTTCTAATGATAATCCCAGAAATTGATGACTTAAAGGATAAATCAAAACTTGCATCAAAATTAGTTTTTACCCAATTAATCGACGGAGGTGTCCAACGATCATTGTTTAACCTTTGATGAACCACTGGTAGAAAATTGCTTGCATCATGTTCGACCATGAAATTTTTAATAAATTTAACAAACTCCCAAGGACTTTGGATAAAATTATCATGCATCCTCTTGTTTCTATAAGACCATAACGCCCATAGTGCCACCACGAAGAGCTTAATTTGAGTATTTAACAAAGCATTGAATAGATTATATAACAATAAAATCCACCAATGCTCTGCAGGTATTGGAGGAATAATCAAATTGAGATAAGTTAATACTTGGTGGAAATAATCACAATCCTGAACAAGATGAGCAACAATTTCATGGTCGATGTTGCACAAGATACAGATGCGGGAAACATTCACTCTACGGTTGAGAAGATTAGCAGCAGTAGTGATATAGTTCTTGAAAAATCTCCAACAGGAGATTTTGATCTTTGGTGGTAGAGGGAGTGCGCTTTTTGCAAGGAGGAGGGCTCGCCTAACATAACACAAGCCTCTCCAAGAAGGAGTTTGTAACCACCCTTAATAGAATATCGACCTGAAGAATTTTATCGCCATATTAAAATGTCTTGTTGAGCTGTTCTAGGGAGAGGGATACTGATAATGGTATCAGATTGATCATCATTGACCAAGGCCTTAACCCTATCTACAATCCAGGTATTAGACATAGGATCAATTAAATCTACAACTATTTTGTAACGAATATCAATCATGTTAACTTGTATTTGACCGTTACCAGGCCCAGGTAACCAATCATCGTTCCAAATGCTGATGAAAGATCCACGTACTACTCTCCTACCGACCCCTTGCTGCAAGAAACCCCTAGTGCACCAAATAATTCGCCAAGCATATGATGGGTAAGATCCTAAATCAGCGTCCATAAATGACTTGTTAGGAAAATAACGACCTTTTAGTACACGCGCTAATAAACAATAAGGATTTAAGAGTACATGCCAACCTTGCTTTGCAAAAATAGCTATATTGAACTTAGCTGGGTCACGAAAGCCCATACCAGCCGAATTTTTCGGTAAACAAAGATCGTTCCACTGAGTTCAGTGAATTCCTCTTCGAGTGCCATTATTATTCCACCAGAATTGATTTAAAATATTCTCAAGCTCTCGACATAAAGATAAAGGAAATAGAAAGCATTTCATGGCATAAACAGGAATCGATTGAAGAACCGATTTTATAAGGACTTCTTTACCCCCCATAGAAAGAAAACGAGTACTTCAGCCATCAACTCGTTTAGTGATTTTGTCACACAACCCAACAAAAGCTTTACGCTTCTGTTTTCCTATCATAGCGGTAAACCTAAATATTTTCAGGATTTGATGAGATGCGAACACCAAATAAGTCACCAACTAAACCACGTGTAGGTGTTGAAGTATTACCACTGATATAAATCAAAGATTTGTCAAAATTAATTCTTTGACCTGAAACAACCTCATATTCAACAAGTATGTCTTTCATAGCAGCGACACCTTCAGGGGATGCCTCGCCAAATAAAATGCTATCATCAACAAACAATAAATGAGTTGAATTCTCCCCATACCTGCCAACCTTATAACCAGTCAGAGAACCGGCTGACTTTGCTGCATGAAGAAGAGAGGAAAGACCTTCGGCACAGAAAAGGAAAAGATAGGGGCTTAACGGATCACCTTGGCGTAATCCACGTGAAGGAAGGAATGAGTCACCTGGGACACCATTGAAAACCATCGAGTAAGACACCGTGGAAACGCTGCTCATGATCAGCGAAACCCATCGCTGCGAAAAGCCAATTTTTAACATTACTTCTCTAATAAAAGACCACTCTACCCAGTCATAGGCCTTGCTCATGTCAAGTTTCAAGGTAAAAAATCCTCTCCGACCAAGCTTCTTAGATTTCATGGAATGCAAAACTTCGTAAGCAATTAACACATTATCTGTAATGTGCCTTCAAGGAATAAAAACTCCCTGAGTTTGATTAATACATTCATCTAAAAGACCACGTAACATGTTCACAATCGTCTTGGCAATAATTTTATAAAGAACGTTACAAAGACTGATTGGGAGAAAATGAGACATTGAAGAAGGGGAGGTAACTTTCAGCAGTAGTACTATGTCGGTACTATTGATGGAGCTCATACCAGCTTGATCATTTAAAATAGCAAGACAAAATGATGTGACTTATGGACCTACAATCTACCAAAATTTCTAATAAAAGTGTCGGAAAACCATCAACCCTGGAAGCTTTAAGATGTTAAAACACGTGTGATTAATACTTTGTATATCTTCATTATACCATCATGTACATCATCCTTTTATACAATTTAAAAACAAACTAATACACTAACTAACTTCTAACTGATCATTAACTAAATAACAAACTTTCTAACAAACTTTTATCACCTCAACACTCCCCCTCAAGTTGGTAGTCTAAAGACATCTTTGACTCCCAACTTGGAGATTAAATATTCATGCTGCTGAATACTCAAAGCCTTGGTTAAAACGTCTGCTAGCTGATTTGCAGATGAAACAAATTCTGTACAAATCACCCCTTCTTTTATTTTCTCACGAATAAAATGGCAATCTATTTCAATGTGCTTCGTCCTCTCATGAAACACCGGGTTTGCTGCAATCTGCAGTGCTGCCTTGCTGTCACAGTAGAGTTTAACTGGCTGAAGATCTTTCACACCCAAGTCTACTAACAGTCCTTTTAGCCACACAATTTTTGCTGCTACCATCGCCATGCCTCTGTATTCCGCCTCTGCTGATGACCTTGCTATGGTATTCTGCTTTTTTGACTTCCAGGAGATTAAGGAATTTCCTAATTTGACACAAAACCCAGTAACCGATCTCCTTGTCATCAAACAAGCTGCCCGGTCAGCATCACAAAAGGCTTATAGTTGATATTGTCCTGCAGAAGACAACAAGATCCCTTGACCAGGATTCTTCTTTATGTACTTAACCACTCGAAGTGCTGCTTCCAAGTGCGAGCGTTTTGGTTGCTGCATGAACTGACTCAGATGATGTACCACAAAAGTGATATCTGGTCTTGTATGAGTGAGATAAATCAGCCTACCTATCAACCTTTGGTAGATTTCTTTTTCACCCTGCAACACTTCATCATTTATCTTCTTCCCATTATTCTTGATTAAACTAGAATCATAACCAGCAGTGGTAAGCTTAATATTCTGCTCCATAGGTGTACAAACAGGTTTAGCACCTCCTAATCCTGTTTCTTCTATCAGCTCTAATGCATACTTCCTTTGGTTCAACAAGATCCCTTCATTAGATCTAAGTATCTCAAAACCAAGAAAGTATTTAAGTTCACCTAAATCTTTCATTCTGAAGCTAGCATGCAAAATCATTTTCA